CGCCTATGTAAGTAAACGGTGACAGTAATGAATGAGAAGCAGCAATACGATAGTAAATAACTTAATCTCTTAAGCCTAAACCGGCAAAGGTTAGTTTTACTTACCCAGGCATCTGCATGGCGCTGTAATAGGATCGTCAGTCGGAAGCAGTAGAGGATAAAGTGAAGTTGATTAGCACGATGCTATGGCAAAGTGATCGTCTAGCGGATAGCACCGTGGGAGTAGCCGCGCAACCAGGTACGAGCGCTCTCACACGCACCAAATGTAACATTATGTTTTACGTTACCGTGTTTAGTCAATGAACGTAGAATGTATGTGAAGCCAAAGTACATAGATAAGAATGAGAAGTCAGATGTTTACCATGACTAGATAGGCTCTCTTTTAATATAAGTTCGGTAAGTTACAATGTCGCGGTCGTGCCTGTTATTCACTCGGTTGCTAAGCGGAGTCCTCCTCGATTCTGCCTGCGTTCCGGCTTTTATAGTTACCGGCACGCCCGCGACGCATGCGTCACGCATGCGCCGTAGACTCTGACGCATGCGTCGTACACACTCGCGAAGGCGTTGTATACGCATTGCGCACGCGCCTTTCACATTCGCGTAGGCGTCGTACACGCCTTGTGCACGTGCCATAGACATCCGCGTAGGCGTCGTACATGCCTTGGCTTCTTGGTGGAAGAGATAATTGAGTCAGATCTAATAGTGTTGATAAGTGCTTGTTCTCTAATCTGTTTCTAAGTGACTTTTAATGGGCATGATAAGTGCTTGTCCTCTAATCTGTTTCTAAGTGACTTTTAATGGGCAAAGCGCAGATGCGGCGCTCCTGATGCTCCCTAATCTATTTCTAAGTGACCACTCTAAGTGACCCCTAATGGGCAAGACGTGGATGCGGCTAAGGAGATGGTGTTTATAGTAGTATCAATTGTGGTTTGAACGTTATCGAATGCTACCGTCAAACTAGAAAGGGATAACTGGAGGTGTGTAATCGCAATAAACTCCCGTGCCACAGAGGCCTGGAAGGCCGTTACTTTAAACATTAGTGTGCGCACACTCGAGGTTAAGTCTCGGGCATGAGAAATTACATCGAACAACACCTCCGTATTCATTTCTGTCTGAATGCGAGTATAAATTATAACGGTGAGGGATTCGTCGATGACGGTCAAAATTCGCTCCTGTGTCGTACCTAATGCGGATAACTGCCGTTGCAGTTGCTCAATGTCATCATCGGTAGCCGTACCAAATAAAAATTTTGCAAGTTTACCAAGGCAACCAACTATAGCACGTTTCTCTCTTGAATTATGCAACGAGTGCAGGTCTGTTAAATGGAGATTTAGTGTTTGTAAACGTTGGCGAAACCATGCGATATGGGCTTGCACGAGAGATGTGATGTTCCGGTTCAAAGCCGCGAAGTATTGATCGTCGGGGGAGGTGGAAGGGGAATACGGTGCTTCCGCTGGCTGTCGTCTATACATCTTGCGCACATCCTTGTGCAACGAGTGTAGATACGTCTGGATCGAAGTAAAGTTGAGAGTAAAGGCTATGCCCCAAGTACTCTGTGTGACCGAGATATGACCTCTCGGAATAAAAACTACTCCCATCGTGGGTTTCCAGACCTCAGTAGCTTGCGAGGCCGATAGGATCGTTGAGGCAACTACGAGCAGGGCGACCGTGGTAACAGGGAACATCGTCCTGAAACAGAGGAGTGCCCCTTAAAATAAACGGGGTGTATTTCGCACCTTAGCTCTATCGGCTACTTTCTGCGAGTGGCAACAAATCGTCTGCATCCCAACTATCAGTGCTGGGCGTGCTGGCCAAACTGGCTGCACGCATGTCGTCGTGGGGAGGCAACGAACGAGGCCCTGTGTCGACCAGCGTCGCGTGACACATTGGTCGGCGTGCTGGGCCGTCTCGCCCCGTAAGCACGGTTCTAGGTGCATCCCATGCCGAGAATGGGTATGCAGGGCGAAGATTGCTAACATGAACATCGCGAGTGCGCGTCTGGCCTTGCGCCTTAATACGAAGTCGCAGTGGAGAGAGTTTCTCGACCACGGTATAGCAAGGTCGCCATCGCGACGCGAATTTCGGCGTCTGATTAGCGGACAACGTGGGATCAAAAAAATAGACTGGGTCCCCAATGTCAAAAGACTGAACCTTTGCACGCCTGTCATGAACGCGTTTATTTCGCGCACGTGCCACTTTAGTGTTCCGCTGCATCGCAACGAATGCTCAGTGCAAGCGCTCAGTGGCGTGAGTTACGGGGTTGTCAGCGTATGACAACTGTCGGGGCTGCAATAGCGCATCGAGCGGTAGAACTGCGTCTCCACCATACGTCAAGAAGGGGGTGAATTGTGATGACTCATTAACAGCTGTACGATTCGCAAACAAGACGGAATTGATCTTAGTATCCCAATCCGTATGCTGCCAATTGATGTAGCATGCGAGCATGGTGGCAAGTGTGTGATGAAAATGTTCGCACTGCCTATTCGACTCGGGGTGGTAAGGAGCTCCCTTAATATGTATGATCCCGAGCGATGTGGTCAATCGTGTCATGAGCTCGTTAATGAATTTGCCTCCATTATTAGTTAAGATGGATCGAGGGCATGAATGACGCGGAATGAAATGGTCGACAATGATCCGCGCTACTGTAGCAGCGCTTTTATCGGACATTTGGAATGCTTCAGGCCATGTGTAAAGATCCAGAAACGTGAGCTTGTAAATGATTACCTGAGTTTGTGCAGGGGTGTGGGCCTGTGACAACGATGGCGACCACATCTCCTGAATGTCTGGGTGCTGGAGCGTGGTGTAGGGGGCTCGAACTCGCTGTAGTTTTCGACAATTACACACGACGCAAGATCAAATGTAGTGGTAAGCGTCAGCAAACATGCGAGGCCAGAAATATCGCTGAGTGAGTTTGCTTTAAACTTTCTTGAAGCCCAGATGGCCTCCGTACGCATGATCGTGAAACAAAGGGAGTACAACGGGTACGAGAATACGGGGATGACTAATTGGTGCGCAGCGTCAGCATCCTGCATGCGAGACGGCACATGAAAGAGCAAGTTGTCGACAAGAAGATAGCGTTCAACAAGCTTAGCCTCGCGTATCGAAGCTTCATTGAGGTTAGAGAATGTGNGACAGTAGGCTGACAGCGAAGTATACAGTGTATCTGTTTTTGCGTACCAGAAAAGAAAATCCTCGTTCACAGGCTGCAGTAGAGGTGGCAAACATTTGAGGTAGCTGATCACGTAACGACCATGCCTGGCCTGGGGGCCGGGTTTACATGTTGCTGTGTGCCTGTTGTGTGCATGACTATGCACTGATTGTTTCATTCGCATTGTGTTTTTTTCATTCAAATCTCGTCGCAGCTAGGCAGCTTATGTCTGAGTAAAACAATGCAAGCAACGGGTGGAAACAGAAAAATATCATTCTAGACATTTAATACATGTCTAGTCATTTATACATTAATACATGATGTCATTTATGTCATTTATGTCGTTTATACATGATGCCATTTATTAATACATTATGTCATTAATACAGGTCATTTATACATAATCATAATCACTCAGCACCAGTATCAGACTATCAGTGTTAAGAAATCGTCAACAAATTACATTCGATCACATTTTTTTCATCTCATTTCACTCGACTAAGAAACCAATCACATTCTTATTCAATTTCATTCACACAGTACACATAGTCAGGTAACATGACAAAGGCAGGAAATCAAGAATTATAATCATGGTAATGATGGTATGGTTATCTTCAAGTTACTTTTTTTTACTTTATTTCTTTTCATCTTTCAACTTTATTTTTACATCGACTGAGCAAGTTCAGAACTTCAGAGAGAGTTTTTAGTTACTTTGAGTATGTTAAAAAAGACTTGTACTGGAATCTCTAGGAATGCCGGGAGCTTCTGGGTAAGGTTTTACTTTCGTTTTTCTCCTCCCCAGTCCACGGTACCCCCATGCATAGATCAATGCTGCCGCACATCCGCAAAGATACAACTTACAAGTGCCTAGACTCTTTTTAAGTATATACAGTTTACATTGCTTCTAGATATCTAAATGAATAAAAATAGTTCACTATCTACAAATCAGTGACGAATTCAGTTAACAGCTTTGGTTATGCGCGTGTCTGGTGTCACTGGTCGTGCCCTCACTCCCCACGATAATTAACCCCTGCGATATAAAAACTTATTGTTATTGCCCGAGCAAAAACTTGGTGGGCTCGGGCCTCCGGGGTCGGAACTAATTTCTAACGCTGCCGGCGGCACAGGAGCGATTTTTTCTCGTATCTTCCAAAATTTTCGCTCTCGTAATTGTTGTTACCAGAGCGCTTTGAAAGCTGACGGGAGCGAAATCGCTCGCCGCTCCCGTGTATTTTTTTCGCTGGACTCACAATGCACCATAAAACAGGAGTTTCAGGCACGCGATTTGTATCAACCAATGGGATTTGGGAGGTATGCAGAATGCAGAAGGTTGCTGAAATGATGTGTACGCAACTGCGTATCTGCATATCTGCGCCTAACAAAGGTGTCACTACGCACGACTCAAATGTTACGTTTATAACCGTAGCAACAGACCTCAGATGAGCCCAGACGCTCTGTGGCTCTTGTTAATTTATGCGGTGAAGGATTGCAATACCTATAAACAACTTTTAGATGCAGTTATAATATGGACGAATTTGTCCTAAAATAAATCGGTTAAATATGTGCATAAATATAAGTGCACATCTGTGATTAGCCCTCGGTCTGTAACATGCAAAAGAAATCGGGAAAGGCGCAACTTTGTCAGGGTGGCAGTACAATCGCAGAGTGTCATGTCAGTGGCCAAAAATACAAATTTCTAAATTCTGTTGTTTTATGACAAATGTGAATGCATGATTATAGAAATTTGTAGGTGTTAGTTTAAGTTTAGTTGTTTTTTTCTAGTTTAATACGTAGTAATAAGGCATAATGGTTATATGGTGGTTTTATGAATCTGCTACCCCCTCTTTCTATGCAGAATTTCCCCGACCTTCGCTGATGCATACTCAAATATGGGAAACACACTGAAAGAGATGCAGGACATTCCAGGTGCTCTGCAGTGCTACACCAGAGCCATTCAGATAAACCCAGCATTTGCCGATGCACATAGCAATCTGGCATCGATCCACAAGGTGTGTATGATTCCTCACACTGTTGCGTAATTCGCTTTCTGCAGTTTTGTTGGAAAGTCCTATGATTGAAAGAAGTATCATCCCCACAAATGTAGTCTCCATTCCGATGAGAATTCTATGCTGCTTTAAAGAGGTGTAACGATACACTAAGGTCACGATACGATACGTATCGCAATACACAGAAAGGGTCGATCGACGTGAATGGTTGAATTCTAATGTTATTTAACTGTTATAATTTTTTTCCCAATACTGTCATAACACAAACGTATACAGTAAAACTTGCATAAGTCGTCACCGTCTAAGTCGTCAATTCGCGTAAGTCGACATGGAAGTCAAAATCCTGATTCGCTCTCATAGTAAATCCATTGGAATAGCCACGCCTAAGTCGTCATTATGTACAAGTCGACGCCCTCAGACAGGTTCCATGTAATACAAACAACAGTAATTTCCCATCTATAAAGCCCGGCGCACATTGCCGAACATTTTGCTCAAAAACATTATCGTAGCAATGTTCCATGAAATGTTCGGCAATGTGCAGTGAAAAAAGTCGCCGAACATTTGTTCCGAACAATGTTTCTGAAGATCGGAAATGTTTGATATCTCGAACATTGTTCGTCAAATGTTCGTCAATGTGCGCTGAATGTCGAACAATTCTAGGAACATTTGTAAAGTAGTAACCAATAGCAGCACGATATGTGGTCACATGATTTTTGTGTACAATATGGCGTCTGCTATATCGCTGCCAGAAGTGTGGACTTTTGAAAAGGAAGAGATTATGGTCGAAATGTGGGGGGCAGCAGCCCTGTCTAAAATTTGCAAAGTTGTTAAAATTTTCTTGTGCAAACTGGACATCGCCATTCAAGTCAATCACGTGACTCTTTACAACACAGCTAATAGACGGCGCCACGAGGTTGTTCGCTGCAAAATGTTCGGCAATGTGCGCTCAGCAATTGTTCACCCGCACATTGCCAGACAAAAACATTTGTTCGGACAAACATTTGTTTGGGAAAATGTTCGGCAATGTGCGCTCAGCAATTGTTCACCCGCACATTGCCAGACAAAAACATTTGTTCAGACGAACATTTATTCGGGAAAATGTTCGGCAATGTGCGCCAGGCTTAAGTCGCCATCAGAAATGCTGATGGCGCAGTGGTACGGTCTAGGCCTCTATGGAATGCACGAGCTGGCTGTCACAGACGGATTGTTTGAATCGCGTTGTTCGCTTGGACGCATTGTGTTTTTTTCCAGCTCGCAGCTCGCACACCCCCAGTTTCCCCACTGTATACAGTGTATTATATAGTGTATGCAGCCCAATAACTTACACCTCTACTGCATTGATGCCGTACATGTGTGGAAGCATGTGCAATTTGCGAGAAAACGAGACAGCAGGCTTATATTATAGACTGTTGTTATCGCAATTGTCACTACATCAATGCAGTGTATAACATGTCCGTGATAGCACATTTAGCCTTCACGATCAGAATTACTGCAACACACTGCGTGCAGACCAAATTAAATGTTCATTATTGAAGTTATTGGTACAGTAATTTCCTTTGGTACGGCAACCTGGGTTACGTCAATTCGCACATCCGTAATTTGTAATAAACATAAATCTCATGTTATGTCTCATGCCACAAAAGCCAATCAATAAACCAGGGGGCTGTTGTCAGAAACGGTGTAGTGTTAATGCTAAGATAGCATCTAAGACTAATGTTTAAACGGATAGACCTCGCAACAAAAGGCCTAGATAGACCTACTGTGAGCATACTTGCAGTTGCAGTGTGCAAACATCACGAAATGTTCTCATCGAGCCAGAAATGTGCTCCGAAGTTGACTATTTTGAAAACTTGCGTGAGATGCAAGTTATTTGTACGAAGTACCAGATAACGCAAGATAGTGTGCATACGCCATAGCGCAAATAGTTCCTGGAATGGAAACACTATATTTCTTTCCTGGTTGCATAAGTAACAGTGTTTGCCCTGCATTGACACGAGCGAGGCGCCCGCCTCGCTCAAATCTCAGCTGCCACGCAGAAGTTTATCCAAAAACACTGCCTCGCTGTCTGAAATCACTGTTCTTCCATCAATAAACTACACTTTATTGTCAGCGTTCGAAATGAGTGCCGACCCGGAGGCCCGAGGCCACCAATTTTTGGCTTCGGCCACCGTCTCTACGGCACTTTTTCCCCTCGTATTACGCTGAAATGCTACGGTTATCGCAACCCAGTTTATAGACAGACTTGTAAACGGGAGCGCATTCTAATACGTTGCGTTCCTGAACGTAGACGGGGTATCCTAAACATCTAGAGCCGAGAGCATGAACTCCCTCAACGCATGATTCGGCACACAAACAAAACCTCGTAACAGTCTAAGAAATCGATTGCGGCGGCATGTACCGTCGTAGCCCAGTGTTTTTATGGCCGCATAACAATAAGTTCATATGTCACAGGGGTTATCGTGGGGAGTGACGGCACGACCAGTGACACCTGACACGCACGCAATTGAATTCGTCACTTTTCTTTATGAAGAAAGTGGACTATTTTTATTAGCTCACCTTGACATCGTCAAGCTGAGCTATTGCCATGGGTCGTCGTCGGGGAAAAAAATTTAATTATTTTTCGGGGGCTACCTTTCAAGCTCGCGTGCATGAAAATAGCACTCTAAAATTTTGTTTGCATTGAACTCTATGCAAATTTACGGGGGCTCTTTTTGGCATTTCCAGGGCTCTTTTTGGCATTTCGGGGGCGAAATCGCCCCGAGCCCCCGTGTATTTTTCCCACTGGTCGTCGTACGTCCGTTCGTCCGTCCGTCAACATTTCGCTACGGTCAACGATAACTCAGGAAGCGTTTGACCCACATGTTTGAAATTTGGTATAGTTGTTACTGCTATGCTCCCATATTAAACGTCCTATTTTGAAGCACGCCAGTCGACGTACTTTTGAGCCACGGCGATTTTTTTGGCAAAAATGGGAATTGCCATTAGTCAGTTCAGGTTCAACGGATTTTGCTCATTTTTGGTATGTGAATGAATAAGGGCTAGGGATTTTGATATTTAAAAAAAAATTATGCAAATTAGGTAGGGTTTGGCAGTTATATAGCATATTATATAGACACAAACAGTCTGTGGTGTCACACTCGTCTGGTTTGTTTTACAAGATTTCATTGACAATATCTTTAATGAAAAATTGGTATTTCCTCTCCACCCTGCCGTTAAAACGTCTATATTAGAGTAAAGATTTACAAAACATGTCGGAACGCAGCATAACCTATTTATTTCAAACGCCATCGCTACAAAGCGGGTATAGCGCCATCTACGGTCACAAATTGTGATTCATTTTGGTTTATAAATTATTATTGCGATATACAGATGGCAATCGTTTCTATATTGTACGTCGATGGTTGCTCAATTAAAACTGACTTCTTCCTACTCACTCATTTGTGTCCTTTTTGTGGTGAGCTACAGTGTCATTGACACTTTCATTTTAAATTAAAATTAAATTGAAAAAAAAAATTAAATTATGAACAAAAAATTAAATTTTAAATAAAAAATTAAATTAACAAACAATTAAAGAAAGAAATTACGTGTATTGTGTGCCTGCGTGCACCGTAGGACCAACGACCCGTAGGACTAAAGAACTGTAATCGCCCTAGCATGGCGATCACCTTCGGTGCTCGCTTCTCGTATTGCGCAACCACCAAAAATAAATTTACCACCTCGCTGACTTTTTTGGCCAGGGGAAACACTGAGTAATATAGATAACCAGTGCTCGAAATAAGCGTTGTCCGGTTGTCCGAGACAACCAGAATTTGCGCCGGACCACCTAACCAGTCTGAGACATTGTCCGGTGGACAACCAAGAAAAATGTGACGAAAAACGCACTTTATTTATGTTTTTCTCAGGGGTTCTCCAAGAGCACTTATAGCCTGGCGGCCCGCCATTGTGACGAAAAACGCACTTTATTTATGTTTTTCTCAGGGGTTCTCCAAGAGCACTTATAGCCTGGCGGCCCGCCATTAATCTATGGTGTGGGAAAGCGACGCATACCAGCTGCTATTTCCAACACTGGTATATGTCAGGTTTTCTGATTTATTAGAGGTGAACTCGATTAAAGCCAGCAAGACCAGCAAACCAGCAAGTTCACCCCTACATTTTGGTATTTTTATTCCATTATTATTTTGAATTTTCTGATGGCTTTGCCCATGCAAAACAAACAACAGTGGGGATTCATGTTGATCCGAAAGTTAAAAAAAAAGAGAATTGTCGTAGTCAGAATGAAGGCTGTACATGTACTCAAAAGTGCCGCAAATACCATCTCCTGCAATCTACATTTTCAAAATTTTCTGGGGGAGGACCACCATACCCCCTCCTCCTTGGAATCCTAGATCCGCCACTGAACAATTACATATCTTGGGAGCAGAGAACAATGAACAAAAATGTTGCCTTTTTGCATGTCACCCAAAACAAAGATTGCAGAGAAGGTAGAGGAGCAGTAGGGTGTGGAGAGGGTGGCGGAGGAGCCATTAAAATATTAAGTCATCCACTATTTTGCGCAGTTCGCTGTTTTTGGCCCCCCTTGTTAAAAAAATCCTGGCTACACCACTGTTTTTGGGTGTTTTCTGACCATATTATTATTTGATTGAAAATAGGAGATTTGGGGATATTTTTTGGGACAACCAGAAATTGTTGTGGACAACCTGATTTGATGCTTGGATTTGGCATTTTTTTCGAGCACTGGATAACTATAGATGATTTAAACAAATTTCACAATTTTGTACTGAATAAACATGGAATAATAAATTATAGCTTGTTTTATAATAGAAAGGAACTGTTACTAAATCAAGTAAATCGCTCCGCTCTGTCCCGGATGTGTAAACATCACTGGTGCTACGTTCGTAAGAGAAGTAATTTCGTTTAGATTTTGTGAAGAAATGTTATGAAAGTAGCAATGCAAATGAGTTGGTATTGAGCTCACAGTAGGTATATATATATATATATATATATAATATGCATTTAACTGCGAGGTTGATCAACTTTAATGTAGCAAAACAAGATGTCACACATAGAGAAGAATGCCCTCGACTCCAGCAGTGCGGGAGGTTGTAGAAAATAGTAGCCGTGATTTCAGTAACAGTAAATTGTTACTTATTAACAGTACTAGGTGGAACCCGCGCTACGCGCGGGCTTAGTGGCTGTGATGCATGTGTTACCAGTACAGTAGTGTTATGTGTAAGGTGTAATATGGAGAGTTTAGTTGTTGCACATGTTTGTTTTTTTATGGTTGAGATGTCAATACAAATACATGTACAATCATGCTTACACGTAACACATTAACGATTTGTTTGGCAAGTACACAGTGAAATACAGACACACGCACGCACGCACGCACGCACGCACGCACGCACACACACACACACATAAATGTTTTATTGTATGCTATATACTGGTTGATGATACGGACTCCAAAGTTAGAATATAGATAGATCTGAATGGGCTGGTAGGTCGGGCCACTGATTAACCACTTGGCTGCGTAGCACGTAATTTTACGTGCTTCGCATGTTTCACCCGCACAGCATTGCAACTTGCAAAAAAAAAATCTGCTCTGATGAAATTCAACTTGTACATCTCATATGGGAAACTATGCCCAAATAGCTACTGAATATTTAACTTCATTATTACATGGTTCGTTCTACTTTAGTACTTACATTATTGGGCTTACAAAAATCTCAGACACACACACACAGAACAAAACGAAAACAAAACAGCGCCCCCTATTTTCAGGCAAATGTTTACGTTTTTTGTTTTTTTTTGTCTTTTTCAAGCCGTTTTTACGGTTTTCAACCGAGTATAGTTTAGAACCCGCCACGTGTATTCATCGATCTCTTCTGTGAATTTGGCGCTATTTGGATCCAAACTGACGGAGCCTTTGATTAACATACAACATTCGCCGAATTATAGTAAGATACAGCAACCATATTGAGCTATCTTGGTTCCTGTACAGGTGTACACTACTAGCATATGGGCAATTCCACCCTGGATGGACTATATAAATAAAATCTAAACTCAATAGTTCAGGACAAAAGATGTTTGTAACTGCAAGAAAACTTCTTTAAATTTTTTGAAAACAACTTTACTGACATGGCAAGTGTTTATTTTCGAATTTTACCGTAATTCATTTAAATGTGAAAATGTTCTAATGTAACGACTGCCGTGACGTTACACAGTGTAGAAGGTGGAGAGGACGGAGACTGGTATAACGGACGGGCATGACTTTAGACGGGCGAGAGAGAGAGAGATGAGAGAGTATCGTACAGAAAGCGTAAGACGTGAGGTGTGAGGCGTAAGACAATAATCAAAGGCAAACTCTATCAGTACGGGTACACGAAGGATCTTTATTTCGATCCACATGGATAACACTAAATGCAGAGCGGGCTCACATAGGCGCGTGACGGATCGTGCCTAGATTTCTCTGCCTCGACATGAGTATGCGAACCCTATTTTATCCAATCATTTTTTTCCCTTATTACTCTTTGAAATTCTTAAGTAAAATTCCTTAGTGAAATTCTCAGTAAAGTACTCAGTGAAGATACTCAGTAAAGTATTCAGTGAAATTCTGAGACTTCTCCTCAACCTAATTTAAATGAAGACCATCCCACAGTTTGATTCTGGTTTGTACAACAGTGGTCGATGTACATGGCTGATAGTTTCCATGTAAAGCCAACCATAAGCTGCAGTGCAAACAGTAATATGGGCAATGGTTACTATTTAACTTAACTGTGAGTTTGTACGAGAGTAACTTAATATAGTAACTGAGTTTGTATGACAATAGCATAACATGGTAACTGTGAGTTTGTACAACAGCAACATAATATGGTAACTGTAAGTTTGTATGAAAGTACAGTTACCCGATTATGTTACTGTCGTACAAAGTCACAGTTCCCATGTTATGCTATTGTCATACAAACTCAGTTACCATATTAAGTGGTATATGCAGGGTTCTCT